TGATAATAGTTATCATCAGCAATGTATTACTGCTGTAACAATGTGCTTTCTTCAGGTTGACTGGTTGGTAATTACACCCAAAGATTTATTAATGTAAATGTATGCTTTCTCCATCAGTATGCTAACAAAGATTCTTCAAACCTCACTTCTAATGTGGAAATATGGGAACTGGCACCTAGATGATATACATATATTATCATTCTTATCACTGTTCCTGTAACTGTTGAGCGCATGATAACCTTTTGAAATAACTCTGCATAATAATAAAATCCAGTGATTATGAAGTTAAAAAAAGACTGCTGCCATTAAGTGAGTCTAAATTTGAACTCTAAACTGCATCACTTTTGCTTTGGTGCTTGGTATTTAACCGTACAAGATCTCTCATGGGAGGTCAGCACAAGCCAAAACTCTTCTGATCATCATTAAAATGTGTTATTTCTTCAAGTACAAGGTTACTCACACCATGTGGACTCAGAGTCATGCTATCAGACACTGTCTCTGCTGGATGTAAATTAGGTGTTGGACTCAATGTATAAGTGAGACGAGGGAACAGGAGGCCTTTGGTGTGTGCTCTCAACTCTGCAGATGGATTTTAGTCCCTCCATCTTTTCAGCCTTTGCTCATAGACAATATTGACTTTTGGAACCAGCCAACATGGGCAGTTAGAGAAAGATGATGACAGAAAGGTTAAAATATGCACATCTCAAGATGACTAAAATGATCCATAAATACTGAAAAACAAGACAAAGAGTCTCCAAATTCAAAGGCTGGGTACTTGGCTACATGCTAATGACAGTATCTTTAATACAGTCTATGGTCAATATCATGCTGCAACCTCCGGGCAAGACCCAAAGACAGCAGCTCAGTCTTTCAGCAAATTTTCCCCAGTGGCCACTCACGGTATTGCAGCGTAAAAAAATCCCCTGCAACCCACAGACTACCATTATAAAAGAGATGTCAATAAAACTGTTTTCAGGACACATTGAACTGCTAAAAAAGGTCAATTATGAATCTTTCTATACTGATTTTTTGAGCCATGGTGGTTTTATATTTGTAAAACAAAGTCTATAAGCTGAGCAGGAACTCATGGGCGAGGCCAGAGGGAGAAAAACTACTGAACATACTTAGTGGGTTGCATACGGCAGAAGTAAACCCAGAAGCTAGAAACTTTTGGTGCCTCTCAAAGTCAAGGAAGGCTCCTTCAACTGCTGAATTTCAAGGAGGCTATGTCATTGAATCCTGCCGACTGTTTCATTGTCAAGGATGCTTCAAATTCTACTGCGGACTGAGCTCTTCCCATGTAGAATTTTCAAGGACACATGTGTGTATCCTGAGTGGGCATGAAGGACCCATAATTCTTTGTGGGCAATTTGCTGGAACTGAAGGCGGGGCCTCTTTGATGAGGTACACCTGGCCACTCATTACCCTGTTCCAATGTATGTTTACCAGATGCTAGGAAGGAGTCTTGCCTAGCCTTTGTAGGACCCGACCTGGAAGGATCCGTCCTACTACATAAGCATCCTTGACTTTGAGAAACACTTTTTTTTGGCACATGTGCCAAGCAAGCAGTTCCACTGGATTAAATAGGTGCCATCTTGGGGTTCAGTGTCAAGGGCTGCATCCCAAGTCTCTTAAAATTACTGCTAACCACCTTATCTAGCCACCTTATCTAACTGTTTAGTCCCTCCCACTTAGGAAAACATGCAAGGAGTCAGGAGTTAGGAGCGAGGATTGCTGATAAGAGACATGAGACGGCCTTACTCTGAAGTGTCACGTAAAGCGACGTCCTTTTCTGATGACAGCGGCACCTATGGGCGGCACAGCTGGATCTGCTGCATAACGGAGCCAGCTTTTGGCATACATCCCAAGTCACATTATATTCGCGGATCAAAGCCGTAACTAATAAACTTAATTACAACATGACAGCCTTGCATGAAATATCATTAACGTTACTCTTTAGTAGTAGTCATGTAGGCATGTGAATTACAGCGTTTCATTGCAAAGAATGCATGTAATGGGTACCTACACTTGCACTGTTTCTCCGCCATCTCGTTCAAATGAGCCAGACGTAGGGGGCGGGTATTTATACGTCAGGTCCTCAAGCTGAAAAAGACTTCCTGTGAGGAACCTCTCGTGTTACCTTACTCATCGCACCTAACAGTTCCCTCCTAACGCCTAACGCTAACTCCTTTCTGGTAGGAATAAGAGACATGAGACGGCCTTAAAGATGGCGGACCTCGAACGACTTCCGGTTCAAGTTAGGAGTTAGGAGTTAGGAGTTAGCAGTATAAAATAAGAGATTTGGGATGCAGCCATGGTCTTATTATAAAGCTAGGCTAGTAATCAGTTGAGCTGGAACATGTGGGCGGGGCCAGAGGGAGAACCACAACTGCACATATTCAATGAGCATACTGCAGAAATAAACCTGGAGGCTAGAAAACTTTGGCATATGCGCCTGGCAAGCAACTCTACAGGAATGAATAGGCGTCATCTTGACATGCAGTCCAGGGCTGAAAAATGAAGCCAACACAAAAGTGCCAAAAACTGCAGTTCCTCTAATGGCCACTTGAGGCTGGCTCCAGTATATACATCAGTGTGTTTTCAGTTCATGAAGGTTGGTTGTAAAATTTTGGCCACCTAAAAAAAAGTACTGTATAGCATTTGGCTGTACTAAAAAGATCTCTTTAAAGAGTCAGATGTTCATTTTTTTTATTAAGTCTGCTCTTCTGTAGTGAAAATTAGCATTAGCGCCATAGCTGGAAATTAACCATCCTAACTAGGCTAGCAGCTAGTGTCTGGGGTATCACCATTTTGTCCAAATATGGTAATTTCTGGCTGCAAAATTTCCAGTTGGCAAAGGCCAAAATGCTGAAATCGAAGCTGTACAACGGGATTTACAAACCACTGGGGGACATCACAGTGGCTACACCATTAAATACAGTCTATGGTCTGTGTGCTAACATGCTTACAATGACAATGCTAACACGATATTTAGCAGGTATAATGTTTACTATGTTCACCATCATGGTTTAGTGTGTTAGCTTGCTAACTAATCAATACCTAACACAAAGAATAGCTGAGGCTGATGAACCAAAGTGTTGTTTAGTTAAGGGATCACCAAAGTGATCAGGATTCATCCTCAGGGGAACATGAATATCTGCACTAATTTTGCATACCATGCTATAGCTGTGAAAACATCTTACTTAAAACCACAAATGTCAACCTGATGGTGGCTCCAGAGGAAAAGTCAGGGGATCACCAAAGTCAGCAGTGTTCTACCTCTGGGGACCATGAATGTCCGTACAAAATGTGGTCAGTCTGCATCAAAGTGGGGCTGCTAGTAGCTATGGCTAAAAAAGGTTTGTTAATAGCTCAGTTTTTATTCAACATAATTTTTGTCTGTCTGAAGAAAACTGAAAATCTAAAAATGATTCTAAAAGATATAATCTTAAATGAATGCATTTTAATATGGCAGGAATTGAGAATTTACTGTGTCATGCAACTTTTGTAGCCAACAAAAAAAAGAAAGTCATAAAATATCCACAATTTATATGGAGTTTCCTCTTGAAATGTGCCTGTGTGTGTATATGTGGCAGGATGGTGTGTTTAAGTGTGTGTGTGAGGCAGAGGCGGTAAAGGACCATTGTTGGTCTGTAGAGAGGAATAAAGTAGTTGGTAAAAGCTTTGATTTCGGAGATAAAACCACCGAAGCCACTTTGATTCTCCTCTGAGACAACCCTGCAGCTGAGTGCTATGAAATGCGAGAAGAGATGAAGACAGCGATCTGTGTAATTAGACTTACAAGCAGCACTTCATGCTGGACCACCAAACACACCCTATCTCTCACAATTAGAATCTGGCATGAGATAAAACATCTTGTGCACGAACGCCTTCACGCCATCAATATGATACAGCTTCTACGGAGTTGCAAACAACAGTCCGTAATGCAGTGGCTAACCCGATAGCAAAATATGATTGAATCACAGTGAGATATTGTCAGGGAGAAGTGTTGAATTTACATCGATGGTTGGTATTGATATCAAATTGAAAGTTCTTGTTAGGCTGTTAAATGTTGAATAAACATCAGATTTGAATCTACGCTGATTCACCAGTTATCCCCCCCAAAAAATGGCTTGGATGAAATTTTAGTTGATTAATATCTATTGAAACAATCATTAAAGGATCTGTATGTAACATTTAGGACATTAATAAAGCAGCAACAATTTGCTATGTAAAGATACAGAGAAGTAATGGTGTCCTGAGGAGAGAATAAAGTTATGCTCCCTCTGTGTGTGTTGTAATTCAAGCTTCTCTGTATTTTGTTGTGGTAGCCGGTCCACATTCGACATCTCCTGCATCTCCTTCTGATGTGGAAGGTACCCTGGGTGTGTTGGTTGTTGACGTTCTGGGACAACTGTTACATGCATTGTCTTCTTTCAAAACACATTTCTGTTGTCACAAGAAATCTAACATTAACATACTTGCTGTGAGTTGACGATTTTTTTCCCCCATCGGCGACAAATGCACGTAGTTCGGTTTACAAAAAAAAACGGTGTATGGGGGCACCTAGTGGTTTAGTGGTTAGAGCAGGTATATACAAAGGCAATGTACTTGCCACAGAGGTCACGGACTCAATTCACTGGCCAGCTAATCAGCGTTGCTCTGCACTGCACTCATATGGTGGTTACTGCTAAAATCAGGATGGCAGTGTCTCTGTTTGTGGTGCACATCTTGTTAGCCAATTATTTTTTTACCCACAGGATAATGAAGGCATGTCCTGCTCTACTCTTCCTCTGAATGATTTATACTCATTCCCATGCCCATGATGTGTTATTACTTGCAGGATATCAGTGACCATACGGTGTGGTATTAGCCTGAGGTGGATTTGGGCATCCATGTGAAAACAGATGATTGTAATTTTACAAGAAGAGGGGAAGACAAGGACGTTGTCAGAAGCTCCCCATTTTTTTTTTTTTTTACCCGTTATTAATTTCACTTACCGTTTTTGAGTCAGGTGCAAGTTCTGCAGGAAGCTCCCACCAGTGTCAAAGAAGGTGTCAGCACACAATTTCAACTGTAGATACTGTTATCATCTCCTCACAGGAAGGAAATCACAGAGAAGTTCCCTTTAACAGAAAGAAAGACTTTAAAGTGTTTTTTTAAGAACTCTGTTTCTCTAAAAATTTTAAGTCAAACCATCCTGATAAATCTTAAATGTTCCTTTAATAGACAATCATCCATGTGTATCCCTTTGGTTAGCGTATTAGGATTAAAGTATAAAAAATGGACATACATTATTTTACTTGTTTGAGTGGTTTAATTCTTTTAGTTAGCAGATAACCTAGTAAACATATATGTTCTCACCATATTGCTCACTGTAATGCCTCAGTCCAGAGACAGGTTTGAACCCAGGTGCATGACTCAGAGACCAGCAGGATGATACAATTTCACATTTACTGGTGGTCTAAAAAAAATAAAATAAAAAAGCAGAAGTCAAAACCAGGCAGTCAGACTGAAACGGGCAAACTTATCTAAAAAGGGGTCAGACTGAGGGGCAGAGGTCTGATGATCAGGCTGGAAAGCTAAAATAGAAGCACAGGAGACAATCTGGCAAGGACTGAGTGGAGATGGACTGGTGTATCTGCTGACAGGGCTGCTGAGGTAAAGTGGGAACAGGTGTGCAGATAGGCAGGGAGGTCAGGTGATGAGGAAGTGCAGGAAAGGGGTTACAGCAGGGCAGGAGGGAGTGGCTGGGTCTGAAATGACAGGAGGGTTAGGAGCAGGGAAAACGGATCAGAGTGGATGTGTGACTGTTTATTGTTTCACCTTAAAGGCTCTGTATGTTCTGAAAATTCTTGTTATCAATGACACTGCAGGCTGTTAAGTGAACTGCAGTCAGCCTCCTGTTGCCCATGCTCACACTCTTACTGACTTACATGGGACTCAGTGTGATTGACCAGCATTGTGTTCATAAAATGCTGGAAAATAAATTATAATCATATTTAGAAAAAAATGTTGCTATCTGTAATGTTGCTATATTTTCTTAGGACCATAAAATTTGACTCCATGACTGTGATGCTAACTAGCTTGCTATTTGCAAATTAGCATATGTTATCCGCTAACGTTACCAAGCAACCAATGGCAGATCCATACAGCCTAGCATTATAGCTAGCTGGCTACTTAGCTTACGCTATGTTCAGCTAGTTGGCTACCCTGCCTTGCATCGCTCTTGGCTAGAAGAAAGGCATCTTTAGTTATACACCTTTGCTTTGTACTGTTATGTTGTGTTCACAACGAGCTCGAATAAAACAATTATGTCAAGTCATTGTAACAAATTAGACGTGAATTCCTGCTGGGCAGTGCGATGGACACAACGCTAATGACGCAAAATATGCAAATTAAGCAGCGCAAATGAAGGTAGTAGTGTGATTTCGCATCATACGCTTATTTGCCAGAGTTGAAAAATCTGAACTTAGGGCAACCAATTTGCTCCACGATAGCAATCAGCATTGAGAGCTGCTGGGGACGTATGACGCCAAGGATGTAGTGCTGGAAGTTGATTTATCGAGAGTTCTTCGTGTGTATGAAGCAAATCAACACAAAACATTCTAGCGCTCAAACTCAGGCGAGTAACATGACGCAAAATTTTGCATCGCGTTTGGTGTGAACACAACATCACACTATTTATTTTGATGTAAATCAAGATTTGTCATTGTACATAAATTAGCGGGCGAGCCACACACGAGACACTTAGATAGTACTCATTAGCAATAATGTTAGCAACCAATGGTTAGTCAGCTAGCTATTATTTAACTTAGGTGTTGGTTCGTAACATTAGCTAATAAAGTAATTTGCAAAACAGCCCCAGGCATCTGGATAAATTAGCTGGTGTTATCCACTCAAGACAGTTTTTACATTAGCAGTTAAGCTAATCTTAGCTTACACTATCACAGTAGCCATATTTCAATTTTCAATGTTTCCTCTAAGATTTTTTCTTACAATGTGTTCACCCATTGGCAATAAAAAAGAATCATGAATGTAAAAAAGATACACAGAACCTTCAATCCTTATTTATTTTGACTGTAAAGTTAGCAGTAGGTACATTCAATATTGATTAAATGTTAGGCAGGTTTTTCAGTGTTGAAAACATGACCTGAGTACAATCCATACATTGATTCAACATTTAAACAGTGACTGCTGCAGAAATGTTGACATAGATCTTTCAACCTCAACCATATTCTGACGTTTCAGACCACAACTTAATGTTGAACTTTTGCTATGAGCAGGCCTACAGACCATAAGATACAATAGACTAACAGCTGCTGGTCATAGCACTTTGTCAGAATGCATCTGAGTGGTGTGATTTGATAACGAGTGGATTTTTACATGATCAAGGACAGCAAATTGAATTAGTTACAGTATGGCCCAGAAATCACCCTCTCCCCTCCCACAACAATTAATGCCAAAATGTATGTTTGTGCATGGCACTTAACCTCCAACTGACCTTGTGATGCTGCTCAATGACCTGCAATGTTCTTGGCAGATTTGTTAAAATCAACATTTTTAGCAAGGACATGTTCAAGTCACAGCATAATTCAAGGACATTGCACCAATGAGCTTTTAATGAATGACGCATTTCTTGGAATTGTTTTGTTCTTAACAACTAATGAGAGAAAACTCCATCAGAGCAAACACAGATGTTTTCTTCATCAACAATGCAGATTAACTAAAGTTGATGTATGTTTTGTGTCAGGGGTGATCATGATATATATGCAACAATGTTCTCAAACTCGTTGACTACCTTACCTGCACCCACACATGCACCAACCTTTGATTAAAGGGAACAAGTTTACACCCACTAGTAGCTCGGGTTAGGGTTAGTCATTTCACAGGAAATTACAGTAAAAAGTGAAGTGGCAGTATGAGGTATGTTTAGGGGAACTCTGTGCAGCAAAAGAGAAACTAAAGAACTCCTATAGAAGGTAGATTAATGATATCTGATAGGTTGAATCTGAGTGTGTTATTATTACTGCAATAAAACATCACACTGCAGGGCTCTAAATGCAAAAGAATCTGCCAATGCAGCAATTTTGCAAATTCCAATATTCACCTAAACCATACAAACTAATGAAGTCTTCTGATTTATTTGCTTTAAGATTATGCCTTTGTATAAATCCAGAGATTTTCTATGAATATCCTCCCAATTACTCCCCTGTCAGGAGTGGACTGCAGCGAGAAGGAAGCATTATGTAAACCCAGGAACTCTGACACCGGCGCCGGTGGAAGGAACCAAAGAAACGATCTATGGAGCAGTGTGTTGCCTGTGTTGTTGGTGGTGGGCGGCAGCTGTATTCACCACTGGAGCCTGTTGTTTCCTCTGACTTAATGAGCATCAGGGCCACTTCAGAGCTGATGTCACTGTTCAACTCAGAGCAAGAGTGGGATTTCACCAACTGGTTATAATAGATAATAATAAACCATTATAAAGCCCACTGTACTCTCTGCTTTTGTTTTGTCACTGTCAAATAGAAGTGAAAATGTGCTCTGTATGACATTTTATCATTTTACATCTGAGTAGTTATATAATAGAATTTAGGTTGCAATTGTGCACTTCAAATTCCAGGAAGTTACGATATGTTACTGTAATATTTTACAATGAAATACAGTATTACCACCTCACAGGCTTTTACTGTGATATTTAACCAAATTCAGAATTTTATTGTGAAATTCATGCAGGTAAATATAGCAGTTTTACAGAAGCATACTGCTTAATCACAGTAATATTTAAAGTTTAACTGTGAGATTACAGTGAAATATAGTGACATATGGCTAACTCACCATAATCAAATGTACATGAAATGCATCAATTTACAGGAACATACTGTTACATCAGTAATGTAATGGGTTTTAACTGTGAGGTGACATTTAAATATAATCATTTTACAAAAGTACACTAGTAAATCACATCATATTTGGAGTTTAACTGTAAAATTACAATGAAATACAGTAATCTTACAGGAGCATACTGCTAAATCACAGTAATCCAATGTACATAAACTTCATTTACGGGCACGTACTGTTATATCACAGTGATGTAATGGCTTTAACTGTGAGATTACAGTTATATATAGTAATCTTACAGGAGCATACTGCTAAATCACAGTAATATGCAGGCATAACCACTGTGACATCACAGTATACAATTTTCATTTCACAACAATTTACTGTGAAAATGAACAGCAATTTACTGTGAAAGTAATACAGCTAGTTGCCAGTAATTTCCTGTAAACGTACAGTCAAATATTTTACAGTGTGCAGCCCAGTCGCCAGAACAAATGTTGGCATTGTATGTTTCTGCAAACCATGAATATTTGTAAGTTATTATGTACCGAAACTTTACATTTGTCAGTAGAGTTATGAAACTTTACATTTCTACATGTTTCAAACACTCTGCGGTTAACATGTGGTTATGTTTAGGTATATAAACCTGCTTATAGTTCATAAAAGATAATGTTTGGGCTTAATATTTTCTTCTGGTGAATTATTTTTGTGTGTTACCTGTATTCTGATATGGCAAAAGAGAAAGGCTTTAGACATTGACTTACCAATACTTTAATTTGTCAGAACCAACAGGATTCATGGGGGGAGCTCAGAACTTCAGTTTTAAAAATTATAGAGCAAAGAAATGCTGTGGATTTAACTAATAAAGTAACTACTGCTAATGCCACCTCTTTACTTAAGAGTAACACTTTGCATTTGTTTCATGGTGATGACATGTTTAGCTGTTCTCCCTCTATTTCAGTGTTGTTCACGCCTGAAGCTCAGTTTCTGATTTAGACCTCTGTTTATACAGAGGCCAGAGAGAGCTGCATTACCTGTTGTGCTGACTGTAAAGGTCAAGTTAAAGTGGAACACCACTTAAATTAAGAATTCCAATACGTTATCCCACTGGCCTCGGAAAGTTCAATCAATATTTATGAGCATGATTCCTGGTGTCCGTAGATCTGCAAACATACGGGCAATGCCTCTAGTATCCAACGCAATGAAGGAATATATAGAAACCTGGTAGAATCTACCTGTAGCCATGGGGGGAGGCTAATTTTGTCCTTTTTTCGCCATCCAGTTTGAAATTTTATGCTTGGAACATAACAAAAACAGGACCAATATTGCATGGCAACAAATAAATGAAGATGTTGCCCTGCCAGGTACGTTATTAAAAAGATGCATGAATGGCTGAACAAGTCATACGCCTGCACATTCATATCAAACTGATAAATCTGACTGTAACGTTTGGCTATTTCACATTAAATGATAAATCTGATAATCTGATAATGACAATGTGTAACCATATTTCAGCAGAATAACATGACTCAGATTCACAATGTGTTCAGACTAGATAAACAAGTTCTTTTTAATCATACAAATTTGTTTGACAATCAACAGGCAACTGAACTGAGGGAAATAGCCTGTTAGCTAAGCTAGCACACTGTCATACAGTCTCTTCGAAATCCACCGCAAAAGTTCAATTTTTTCAACGTGCTTGAGGCATGGTACATTGGATATCACAGAGGTTCCCATATCAAAGAAGGGACTTCCTGTTGACTTGTCTCTGTACACATTTGTAGATGTCTGGAGCTGGAGCATGGACAATGAATGGGAGCCTAATTTTGTGGACCCACAGAATGTTTGTGTGACATCCAAATTAGCTTTTTTATGTTGTAGTGTTCTCAGTTCTGA